TGTGTTTTACTGTTGCTTTGAATGCTCTTACTGTGCTGTGTCATGCATTTTTAAGTCTGGCACAGTTTTTGAATCAGTACAAGGAAATGACTGAACATGATCCTAGTTCTGAAAAGACCGCGCCCTATGATTAAGATGCCACGCAAATTAGCTCCAGGAATGAAACATGAAGTAATGGTCCATATAAGAATTGAAGGAAAGGACCAAAACGCAGTGAACACGTCGGATGGCAAAAAGGTGCTAACCTTACTATTGTCTCCACTATGGTTCTGATTGGTTTAAACATCAAATTTTACGAAATCTTCGCAAAACAGCATGTGTATTAATCCCTTTTTTTCTATCCCACTTCGTTATAACAAATCTCGTCTGAGTCTAAGTAACACGGAAATCGTATGTGCGGATCATGTAAAATTGTGAACATTTCTTGGCCATTGTTTGCAACTCTTGTGATTGGTCGAAATTTTTTAACACAAAAATACACCGTTTAAAAGTGGAGTTTAAATGCATTTTCTTTCGTAAACTGCCTTTTTGGTAGGTTTACACATTCTCTGCCTGAAAATGAAAACATTTCTATGTGAGGAAAGCGTATTGCGCCACAACAAAACAAATTGCTTCCCTTCTTACCTCGATCATTACTTAAAGAAAAAAGTTTCAGTAACAAAATACTAGTCTGTTTTTGTGTTTGCTGGTAGTACGTAAGGGGCTCTTTGACAAAAGGAAATCAGAACGCAAAAGAAAGTGATGACATATAGTTATTTTAACTCGCCGGGAGCCATGCGTACAGTTTTAAACTTTTCGTGAGATAGTCGAGCTTTAAAAATTGACATACCTTTCGGATAAGGGATGAATGAGCTGCGAAAATCATCCCAGCAACAAAAAGCAGAAAAAGACGAGACATTGTGTTAGGGCAGTTTGAATCTTGCGGTCTTTACCACCTTACTGCTCTGGATGAGAAGTGACACGAATATGGAGGCCTGGAGCACGAGTTGCTGCACGTTTATTTGTTCCAATAACATCAATATTGTTTTTACATGATAATTTTGAGTGCCGATAGGTTTCATTTCAAGTACTTTTCATGAAGCATCTCAGCTAATACTAAGGGGATTCGTATGTGTAATCAAATGGTGACGAGTTAAATTAGGGAATAATTTCATTTGCGTTTTGTCCAAATCCTTATAATTTCCCGAGCCTTTAAAGGCTCGGGAAATTATAAGGATTCTGACAGAACGCAAGTGAAATTATTCCCTAATTTCACGAGTATACCATTTGATTACCTATTAATATTAAAGGGGAAACGAATTACGTTACCAATCTTGGATTTTTGACATGTTTATCCTGGGTCGTATCGATCGAGAACTCCACTCTCTCGAACGTTTAGCGCTTAAATTTGACTCAAGTTTAGAATTTTTCGATAAAATACCTGTCCTTCCTGATGTGCTTTTTGGTGTGTTCAGGTTTTCTAAAGCGTCTTTATATGCCCGGGCATCTTCCATCATGACATTTTAAAACTTCGTCGCCATCTTGAGACTGCCACGTTCGGAAGGTTGCCATGGCAATTTTGTAATTTCACATGTGAAATTACAAATTATCGCCGGAATTTTGCGCCAAAATTAAAGAGTAATTCGTCACCTATGATATTAAGGCATTAATTAACCATAAAGAAGATATTAAAGCGATTCTGGGTATCCCAAACCTCCACGGCTAATTAAAAGTTAACCAACCCGTTAAGTATCTCTGCAGTACATGAACATTTTTGTCACTTATAACTATTTTTTTCTTATTGAAGAATTTTTTCATATTGTACCCTTTTTATACTAACACCTAAGTAATTCTTGCATTTCAGCAGCCTGTGTTATGAAAAACTCAGGTACAACTCAAGTTCACTCCTGTTAAAGCAGGAGTGATCATGAGTAGCTCAGTGGAAAACTTTTTATTCATCAGATTTCCACTCACGGAAACTGCGGTTCCAAATTCTACTGAAAGGGCAGCCTCAAAAGACGAACGCGGGGATTATCACTGAATCAACTTCTAATACTGGGTGTAGTAAGCTGTGAAACCTTACGAAACCAAATGATATCGCAAATATCGAAATAATATCGAAAGCAAAATGCTTTTGATAACTTGGTAGATATTGGTTAAAAGTGGAGTTTTTTGGTCCTGGAATTTGATTTTTAAATAAACAGCCGAAACTTTAGCTGTAAGTCAAGGCATGCAAATTCCTTTCGCTTGCCACTTTGTAAAACAAATTGTAAGCAATTTTTAGTAGAAATCAATGTTTAATCATCTTTAGTTACTCATCAAACAACGCACGTTATCTGAACTGTCCAAATACTTACCCAGCGGAATAGTGTATATAATTCCTGTGTTTTTTCTTTAATTTCTAGTAACGTTACGTTTTCTAGCTAGTTTATGTCGGTTACTGTTATTTTATTTTAGTATTATCATTATCTTTGGCATATTGCAACTTATAGTTCTATACTTAGAACACGAGTTTCCACTCAGTACCATATTGGAATTGAAGTATTTCAATCACAATACTTTTTAAAATTCATGTTCGAGTGTTTCATGAAAGGTATTTTTGCTCTTTCCACTAAAAGCACCTTCAGAACATGCGGCAAGACAACATAAGGTGACCTTTTAAGCACATCTTAAACATGCATTTTTTCAACTTTAACGTGCATTCTATCACGAGAGCTTCTAATTTACAGGAGATATTTCATGATAAATTGTAACTTGATACCCTAAAAATACATCATTAAACAGAGAATCAAATAGATCGAGATCTAAAGTAATAGTCCATTTTTGCTCTACAAGTCCGCCTAAACTAAAAAGAAGAAAAAAAAAAACGTTTTGTGTATGTAGTTTTATTTCCCGCCGTGTTTCGACCTAAAAAGAGGGTAGAATTCATCATCAAAGACGAAGAAAAAAGTACACTATCCTCATGGATACTGGAAGAGCTTTCGAAAGAAAATAGAAGGTTCTAACAGGGTAGATACAACAACGTCGTTAAAATGAAAAAGTCGGATAAAACTCGGATACCAGCGTCTTCAGATTTGTTCTCTATCAAGCTGCAATAACCATTAACCCTTTAAGCCCCAATATCCACAAGCAAATTCTCCAAACTGATCTCTATACATTTCTTTAAAGAGTAAGTTGAGAAAGTTTGATAAAAAATCAAAGCATTTTCTCTTTGGTGATCATTTAATTAATTCTCATAACCTAATCTCTTGACATTGTATGGATATTGTTAGGAGAAAATTGATGTTGGTCACTATTGGGACGTAAAGGGTTAAGAGAACAATAGTTAGTAGAGGAGACTGGATGCGGCAAACAATCCTTTATTTTCTTTTCACAAAAAGCTACTGAGTAAATTAATGCGACGTTTTTATTGCAATAAGATGAATAGAAACTGATGACTGTGCCTTCAAAAACCTACAAAAAAGGAACCCAACGGGCTTCATTTAACCGTTCCATTATATTAACCATTGGAGAAAACATATTGTTTCTTCATTTTTTTTATATTATTTAACTAAAATGAACTCCTTTTAGCCTTTTTCCTTTATTTTTTCATTTTCTTGTTTTCTTTTACAACCAGTTTTCCAATTAAAAGTACGTATGATAATTGATCGAGTTAAGACCGAGAAACTGATTGTTGGACAGTTATGAATAGCGTGCAGTGGTTACGATAAACTTTAATTTAAGAAAGTTTGAAAAATAAATGATATCGCGCGTTTTATGTTATACACTTAATGTCAGATCCCGAGGGAAACATTTAGTTTTGTTTCCCCGAGATCTTCTGTTACACGTTTGTTTGAAAAGGTGAGTTGTTTTGAATTTTCCCTTTAGTGTTTGTTAAACTGTAAATAGAGTGTTTTCAAGTGACGTCACGTCGGCCATATTGGTGTTCCAAAACGATGAAACGGCGGCCATGTGGGTGTCCCAAACCAATCCTCTGGGAGTTGAACTCTTTTCTTATGGTAACGCTTTCTTTTGTTCCAATTAATTTGCATAGATGCTGGCCACGTGAGTGAAAACACTCTATAGTTGCATAGAGTCTTAGTAGTATTTGAAGAAGGTGTGCTTTAATATTGATGCAGTGGTCAAGAGACCAAATAGAACGAGTGTGTTTACAACCCAGCGATCGCTGTGTTCGCCACACTGAAACAGCGTGTTCATCGAAGTGAAAGTTCAGTCGGCCAGCGTGCCTTTACAATAAACAATTGATCTGACACGAATATCTGAGAGAAATTGACATACAATACTCATCTAATCAGTGGATTCTGAGAAATCTTCAGTCAAAGTACTCTCGGAATACCACTTGCGAGCGTGCCAACCTTAAGCCTGTTGCTCCTGGAAGGGGGAGGGGGGCGGGTATTCCCGGATATTTTAAAACCGGCCGGTGTCGTATAATTTAATAAAACGGCGGTTAGTAATTGATAGGATCATGAATAAAGATCATCAAGGCTGTTAAAACAACTGTAAAAAAGCTGATGATAGATACCAGAACAATAAAACATTGTCAAAAGAATACACCAACCCCATCACTGTACGTAACACCCTGAAGAAGAAAGGCCGTGCCTTCGAAATATTGGTAAAAAATATATATATTCCCGACAGTAAAATCAGCCTTGCTTCTTTTGTTTAATATTGACCTCAAGAGCGTCATATGTCCCTGGGTATATTTACTCTTGGAATATAAAAATGCTGGTGGGCGAAACACAAACTGTGTGAGAGCGCCCACGAGTACCGCCACCTTTTTTCACATGATTTCAGGCGCACAGGGTTAATGATTCGTTTAAGGAGTGGTCTGGCCTCAGGGTTAAATAGGATCTCTACGGGTCAAGGATGACAGCACAAAGTCGTTTAAAATTTTATTTTGCTTTTTAAAAGTTTACAGAACTACATAGTTTTTAGGTGTTGAAATGAAGATTGGGTTCCATGTTTTTCTTTTTCGATGTCACAACTAAACGTTTAAGTGGACTGAAAGGTACAGCAAAATTTCAGTATCCCTTCTTGGAACCGCGATAATATCGGTAAACACAAGAACGCTTGCAGCCGTAACACACGTGATAACGACAGCGACGGTAACCATAGCCTTTGCATTTGATCCAGCGATAAACGCAGTAGCGGCATTGGAAGCGGTAATAACAGTAACGTTTGTACGGTTTGTAACTTTTGCCCCATTTGGCATCTGTAACAGAGTTATGGAGAACACAAGTTAATTAACTGTCTGAAATATAATAGGTCACTTGCACGATGACGTGTTTTTGCTACTATGAAAAGAAATTAATTTGATGGTTTTTTCCCTCGAATTTCAATTTCGTTATCCCAGTGAGGTTTAAATAGCAAAAGCCCAAATTCTATCTTATTTGCATAAGAATGCAAAACCGTGAAGAATTCTGGTAGTAGTAGTAGTAGTAAAATGCTACCATCATGTAAATGACTTATCATCTAAAGAAATGATCGAAACAGATATCAATCGGCGCTACTAGCCTTTCAGTTTCGAACAAAATCAGGACTTTGGGAGTCCAGCCCATGACCTACGATTTCTAACTCGTAAATAGGTTAAGATTGTAATTAGAGCCAGTTTTACAGGCAGTTTTGTTTTTGGACTAAACTAGTGATAGTGATTTTATAAACGGTCTTAACCTGTTCTTTGTTTGATGTTTGGCATTTGGTTTCTTCCCCAACTTTATCCCATTACTCCCCAATAGAGCCATTTGCGTGTTGCTAAGTAGTTTTTGGGTGTTCAATGGGAGCAAGTCTAGCAGTACTTGATAATAGGAAATTGCAAATTACCCTTTAACCTTCGGACGTACAAGGGGGGAAGGGAGGGAGTTGATGTTACCGGCCCATCTAAAGTTTTTCTGAGTTTTTTTTAGACAATCAAACTACAGCACCTGACGTTTTCAGCAGCTGTCCGTTTCTCTTTCGCGCGCCTTTTGAGTTAAGTTTGGTGATGATCAGTAATTAACTATGGTTACGAGATACCTAACCATTTTATTTTTAGTGAAAATGCATGTTTTTCAATATGTTTCAACGAGAAAATCAAAACCTGTGGATAATATGAAGCAAAGTGCTTATTTATGCACAAAACTATACCAATTCTCCAAGTTGGCGACCATGTTTAGAGCTTGTCGAGAAGTTGAAAGGCTTCCCACTGAAGGAAAAATCTTTTCGAAATAATACAACATATCAGAACTCAAGGGAGGGGTTCCATCATACTCTCCCTCGTACCACGGTGAGGATATGACTTTGTGTGTACTTTCGAGGGTTAATTTATTTTTTTGCGCGTTGTATTTAGAGTAGCTCTCACCTTCAGGTGTCATGGCTGCATCAGAGGTGTCTTCTTGTGGCTGGCCTTCATCTACCTCCTCGCCTATTTTGGAAAAGAATCAAATATTAAGAAACAACAACAGCTTCTTCAAGACTCTTCTTTATTCATTGTGTCAAAAAAACATCAATAGAGAACTTTCGATTCGAGGAGTAGGACAACTACCAGGACAAGATATCACTTAGAGTTTTTTCGCGTATTTTCCAAAAATAAACAGCCCCTGAAGCTTCATTCCACTCTTTTCACCAGAAAAGCTAGCGCGTTTTTCTTTATTGAAGGAGGTTAAGCCCTCTTCTAATCGCAAAAGGATAAAACTTTTAACATTTGATGACTTTTTTTCATCACTACGACATTAGTGCTAAAAATCGTAGTAGAATGACGCCAGCTATCGCGTTTTCCCGCCAAAATGACGGTAGCTCACGCGCACACTACTTAGTACAGTGAAAACTAATCTAAAGGTTTCTGTTGCTATACAAATACTTGGTACCTTCCTCTGGCATCTCATCTGAGTCTTCCCTTTCGTCAAAGTCTTCTTCGCCCAATTCTGTTTCATTTTCGTCCATTTCGTCATTAAAATAACAATGAACAAAAAAAATAAAAATTAATTACCACTATAAGTATAGTCTGAAAAAAAATGAGTTTTTTGCATTTCAACAATCTTAAAATTTACTAACCTTCTGCAGGAATTTCATTCTCCGACAACGAATCCTGTAGAGTGCAGACATTAGAAAAATTAATCCATAGGTACCTTTGCTTAGCACTGATATGTGTTTTACTGTTGCTTTGAACGCTCTTACTGCACTAAAGGTGCTGCGTCACTTTTGAGTTTAGCAAAGTTTTTAAATCAGTACAGAGATTTGGCTGAACATGATCACAGTCCTTAGTTTTGAAAGGGCCGCGCCCTATAAGGAAGATGCCATGCAAATTGGCTCCAGAAATAAAACATTTAAGAAAAAACGTTTAGTAAAAAATACTATTCTGTTTTTTGTTTTTGCTGGTAGTACATTAGAGGCTAACAAAGGGAAATCAGAAAGCAAAAGAAAGTGTTATAACATAGTTCTTTTAACTCGTGGAACCATGTATACAGTTTTACAAGTTTCGTGAGATAGTCGAGTTTTAAAAAGTGACTTACCCCTGGGATAACGGATGCATGGGCTGCGAAAATCATCCCAGCAATAAAAAGTAGCAAAAGACGAGCCATTGTGTTGGAGTAGTTTCTTGCTGTCTTAGTCTTCACCTCACCGCTCTGGAAGAGAAGTGACACGAGTTCAGTGAAAAGCTACCTGTTTTATAGAGGTCTGAAGCACCAGTTGCGGTACATTTATTTGTTCCAATAACATCAATATTGTTCTCAATAATTCCGAGTGCCAAAAGGCTGCGTAAATCCTGAAGAGCACTTGAAATAAACTAGAGAATGCTGATCAGAATACACTTTCATACATTTATTCAATATTAAGTAGAACTTAAAGCGATACTGGATATCCTGAATACCCACAGCTAAAAATAAGTTAGCCCGTCTCTCATTAACAGTTACTTCCTTGTGGGTACCTCTGCAACTCAGAGACCTTGTGTTACTTGTAATTGTTTGTTATTAATGATACATATATAAAAAACACTTCAAATATTGGCTTAATCTATTTTATATCAACACGTAGGTGAATGTGGCGCACACTTCAGGCCGATCTATGTTATGAAGAATTTCGACTGATTAAGTAAATAACAGTCGTGAGAGCTGGAAAACTGGTTGAATAGTGAGCTCTGAAACTGGTATGAAACCACTGAAATGACATCAAAAGTAGATGCCTCTGATAACTGGGCAGATATTGGAGCCAGAGTGTAGTTTGTTTAATGTTTTTGAATTGATATTTAATTTTAAATAAACAGGCAAAACTAGTGTTGCAAATCTAATCGGTTTCGCTTACTACTTTGTAAAACACATTTTAAGCAAATTTCTTTCCTTCCTTTTTTTTTGTTAGAAATCAATGTTTTAAGTTTTTTTTAAAAATAATGATCTTACTCATCATATAACGAACGTCAATATTTACCAAGTGGTTTACAATAAGTCCCCAATTTTTTCCTTGTTGGTGTGGTTATATTATTTTTATTTAGTAATATATTTTTTGGTTTATTGCAAGTTATAATGTTATCGATAACAAACGTAGTACCATAAAATAAAATAAAATAAACTTTATTAATGTTCCAGAACTAGACATTTCCACTTAATGCTTTATATTGGCATTGTTTTAAATATTTAAGGCATAATATTTTTTAACACTCATGTTTGAGTGTTTCATTAAAGGTATTTTCCTCTTTCGACTAACAGTACCATCAGAAGATGTAGCAAGACAACATAAAAGTGGCCTTTTAAAGACAACAAAAGCATGATAATATTGTTTCATATTTTACGTGCAATTTTATCACGACCGGTCATTTAATAAGAGCTTTTAATTCAAATGAGATATGACACGACAAATTGTAAATTAAAACCCTAAAAATACATTTGAATCAACGGAGATTCGAAATAATTGGTATTTTTTTAACAGTGCTCTACTAATCTCGAATGAACGAAAAGAAGAGACCAGGTTATGGCTTAAAGGCATTGTCAAACGGCATTGGAGGTGGGGGTGGGGAGGGGAAAGGGGGGGTTAGCCTTAAGGATAGCTAACATTTTTGTTGTCTTAATCATGAATGAGAAGCTAAACGACTGCAGCGAAAACTGCAGACAGGCAGACTTTTCAGTACTGAGTTCCAATATAGTAGGAGTTACAGCACGCTTTTTTTTTCTCCCAGCTTTATCAGCTTTATTTTGATTAAGTAAATAACAGTCGTGAGAGCTGGAAAACTGGTTGAATAGTGAGCTCTGAAACTGGCATGAAACCACTGAAATGACATCAAAAGTAGATGCCTCTGATAACTGGGCAGATATTGGAGCCAGAGTGTATTTTGTGTAATGTTTTTGCATTGAAATTTGATTTTAAATAAACAGGCAAAACTAGTGTTGCAAATCTAATCGGTTTCGCTTACTACTTTGTAAAACACATTTTAAGCAAATTTCTTTCCTTCCTTTTTTTTGTTAGAAATCAATGTTTCAAGTTTTTTAAAAATAATGATCTTACTCATCATATTACGAACGTCAATATTTACCAAGTGGTTTACAATAAGTCTCCAATTTTTTCCCTGTTGGTGTGGTTATATTATTTTATTTAGTACTAAATTTTTTGGTCTATTGCAAGTTATAATGTTATCGATAACAAACGTAGTATCATAAAATAAAATAAAATAAACTTTATTAATGTTCCAGAACAGGAATTTCCACTCAATGCTTTATATTGGCATTGTTTTAACATATTTAAGGCACAATATTTTTTTAACACTTATGGCTGAGTGTTTCATTAAAGGTATTTTCATCTTTCGACTAAAAGTAAGATCAGAAGATGTAGCAAGACAACATAAAAGTGGCCTTTTAAAGACAACAAAAGCATTATATTGTTTCATATTTTACGTGCATTTTATCACGACCGGTCATTTAATAAGAGCTTTTAATTCCAATGAGATATGACAGGACAAATTGTAAATTAAAACCCTAAAAATACATTTGAATCAACAGAGATTCGAAATAATTGGTAGTTTTTTGTTTAACAGTGCTCTACTAATCTATGTAAAATCATGACAAGTATTTTTAATTACGTTTGGACTATAAAAGATCTAACTCACCATACATATAGGTCCCCTCAGAGTCTAAATTTTTTCAAAGATTAAGCAAGAAAATGCTTTATCCTAATTGACACAAGGGGGAAAATGGCTTTAAAGGGGAAAATGCAATAACTGACGTCCTCATATAAAAATGAAAACAAAAACAACAAAAAAAAGAAGAGAAAAAAAAAAAA